TTGCATTGTTTGACTCTGTGATGCCGCTGCGTTACTTCCCTGTCTAAAACACCTGATTGGTCTAATAAAGAGCTGAACGGCCAATAGCAAGGCAGGAGAAAGGACAGGTGGGGCTGGCAGGCAGAGAGAATAAATAGGAGGAGAAATCCAGGAAGAGCGATCAAGGAGCAAAAGGAGAAAGGAGAGGGGCCAGCCACCCAGCCACACAGCCACATAGCCAGACATAGAGTTAAGAAGTAGAGGGAAAATATACAGAAATAGAGAATGGTAAAAAGCCTAGAGGCAAAAAGTAGATGGGCTAATTTCAGTTAGAAAAGCTGACTAGAAACAAGCCAAGCTAAGGGCTGGGCGTTCATAAGTAAGAATAAGTCTCCATGTATTTATTTAGGAGCTGGGTGGCGGGCCCCCAAAGAGCAAAAAAGTGGAATAAAAACAACCAACTAAAACCTAGCTTGCATGTAGACAGTAACATTCCATGGGCTGGGGTCCTGGGCTCCTGAGCACTGGAATTCATCTCTCTCTGCTCCACGCTGCTGCCATGGCTTTCCCAACACAGAGGACTGCCAGCATCCCCCAAACCGTGACCCCAGACAAGCCCTTCCTTCCTCAAGTTGTCCACCCCAGGTATTCTGCCACAGCAGTGGGCGAAGTTACTAATACAGTGTCCAAGTTTTACGGATCTGTTAATTATCAAAGTGACAGGTTCTCTGCTGGCCTTCCGCACACTTGTCCATACGTATTATCTCGAATCATACAAAGCTACCTCATAGCTAATGCTCCCCCCACATTCACAGGCAAAGGCAAAGGCACGCATACACACCGGAAAATGCAGATACAGACACATGGACATGCATACACACACTCATATAAACACACTCACATATGCACAGGTGCACACACACATACACATACACACACATATGCACAGGTGCACACACACTCACACATATACATACACACCCATAGTATGCCTGACATGTATTTACACTAACACACACTTCAGCCTGTAGGTTTTATATGTAATTGCTACTTCTTTACCTAGATTTTAAAGGATGCGTGTTCTCACTCTCCACGTCCTCACTTTGTTCTTTTCTGTTGTTGGGTTGTTTTTGCTTTTGTTTTGTTTTGTTTAGTTTTTGTTACTCTGAGATAGCCTCCAAGGCAGCCCGTCTGGCGTCAGACTCACTATGTGGTAGAGGCTGGCCCTGAACTCCCCAGCCTCCTGCTCCTGCCCCTGTCTCCCATGTTCTACCCTTGGCGGTATCATGTCAGCTATGGCTGTTGGCTGGAGGGAGGCACAGTGACTCCTCCCCTTCCTCCTGAGTCTAGTGCTGTGCGGTCACTGTCACTCTTGAGAAATGAACCATGTTTTAATGCTTTGCTTCAGAACTGACCGAGCATGGCTGCAAAATCAGCCACATTAACGTATATTTGCACTTTTAGGAAATTCAGTGCTAATAGAACTTTACCTGTCCTTGGGGATGCTGAGGCAATCTACTTCACTTTACACCCATCTAGACAGAAGACCCCATTTCCTACTCATTCACAGAGAAGCTCTGAGTCTTGGTACGTTTACCTTCCGCCTTCCTCGGCTTTATATGTTCAGTTATAACTAGGTTTTCTGCCCAGCCATTAGAACACCCCTCCTGAGGGGCTTGAGAGATGGTTCAGCAGTTAAGAGCACTTGCTGCTCTTCTAGAGGATCCCGGTTCAATTTCTCATGCCCATCAATGGCTCACAACCATCTGTTAACTCCAGTTCTAGGGATCAGAAGATGTCTGACCCTATTCACAGGATCAAGTGATCCTTGGTGGAGGATCTTCTACAGGGACCCCTCTCACTTTCCGGGAGATGGAGCCCTTGAAAGAGCAGTCTGTGTGCTCCCTGCCCCTGCTGCTCCCCGACCCAGCTTCAGGTCTGTATTCCCCACCAAAACAGGCTCAGTTTCAAAGAATAAATACTACAGAGTAAGCAAAGAAATGTAAAGGATGTAAACACCAAGGTGAGAATCATTTGCATGAAGTCAGAAAATATTCCCCAAAGGAATGAGTGTCAGCCCCGCTGGACACTTGCTTCTGTGTAAAACATAGCTCTGCTCTCAGCTCGGGATGTAGCAAAGCACGGTGGAGGCAGGAAATCGTGCTCTGCTGCTCATTAGGCTGAGGGAGGTCCCAACCCTGCTGCTCTGTCTCCACCTTACCGCCTAAGCACCTGAATGCTGTGAGTTCAACAAAAGAATTACTCCACACGGTACAATCTTAATGACATTCTTGACACCACTGTTTCCAGCCCGTTGGAGCCTTCACCTCATATTAGAGGTCCCCAGGCACACCGGCTGCCCCTGGACTGTCACCTTCCCGGTTCTCAACCCCTCCTGTGCCTGGGAACTCCTCACCATCTACACACCTGTTCTGTCCCAGTCCCTCTGGGAAGAGCAGCACTAGCTGTGGCCACCTCCCTCCCTACAGAGCTGAGGACTGAGGACGGGCACACAGCACACTCAACTGTGTGCTCACAGGAGTCAAAGACAGGACATTCAGAAAGTCCCACGATGGTATGGACATTTCATTTACACAGAGAAGGAAGAAAGCTGCAATTAAAGTTATTGGCCTTCTCTTTCTTAACTAAATCCCACACAAATCGAGTCAAGGAGAGATCTGAAGCCGTGGTGAGTCTGGGCGGCTATGGCTGCTGCATCCGGGAGTCTAAAGGCAACTTTGCCAAAGGTTCAAGACCAACAGAGTCAAGCTGAAAAATTGGGGCTGACTTAAAATCCTCTTCCCAAAAGGATGACTTGGGAAGTAAAGAACAATATCCCGGGGAGAGTGATGACACAGGACTCCAATTTAACATGGGGAGAGCCTGGCGTGGCCCCAAGACTGGACTGACAGCAAACATTACCGTTCCCTCAGCACACCGAGGCGTTAAACAGAAGCAATGTGGTCAGCGCCTTCGCCAGGCCAAGGGAAGGTGGAGGCCAGAGAATGGGATCCGGACTCCAGAAAAGCAATCTGTCCCATCCACTCAGGAAAAAACCGGGCAGTCACACTGCTGGGGACCATTCTAAGCCCGTTCCCTCAAGGCCCCTGATCACTGAGCTCTGAAAGTGATGTGGCTCACCCTTTCCACTGTCAGGAGACTCTGTAAGACACAGACATGAACGGCAAAGATGTGTGGGGAAACTAGCCAGCCACCCACGGGTACAGTCAGTTAAAACAGAAACAGTGACCCCCAAGACACGCGACTGCATGTAAAGGTTTTGTTGAGGTCTGTCCACATGACCCCAGCGTGAGCAGCACACGTGGGACAAAGGCTAACTTCTGTGTGAGGAAGGACCTACGGAAAACGAACTTCAGGGAAGCATTTGTTTTGTTTTCTCGGGAGAATTCAAGTCCACAGAAGGATTATCAATGGGTTAACCATACGGGCGGAAACACAGACACAATTTTAATTGTGACGGTCCGATGTGAGCAAAAGCGTGGACAGGACCAGGGGAGTGGGCAGCCTGCTACAGAACACACAGATCAGCAGGGCACACAGTGGCCCTGGGGGTCTACAGAGTCCCGCAGATCAGCGGGGCCAAGAGACAACAAACGTGAAGGGCTGACGTGCCAGGAACCACCAGTGAGAGCACTCCAAACAGATGGGTTCCAGCTAAGTGTGACACTCCCCACATCAGGCTGCCTTAGTAAAAACCAAAGCATTTACCAAGATCCTAATGAACATGAACGCCATTCACTCCAAGGGCGAACAGCAGCCTTTTATAAATACTCAGGGGAGAGAAAAAATATCAACATTATAAAAGAAAACCTCAAAATGCACTCCACTCTGCCACAGTCCATTTGTGAGAGCACAGCAGCACACAGCTGCAGTATTCTGCCCCCAGGAGCCTCAGACATGCCCACAGGGCGGCACATTCCAGCAACTGAGAGTTGAGATCGCTTTTTATATGGATGCTGTCTCTCCCTGTTCTGGTCAGAGCTTCTTTCTTTTACTTTTCTTTCTTTTTTTTTTTTTTGTCTTTAGTTGTTTTGTTTGTTTGTTTTTTGAGACAGAGTTCCTTTTGTGTATCCTTGGCTGTCCTAGAACTAGCTCTGTAGACCAAACTGGCCTCAAACTCACAGAAATCTACCTGCTTCTGCCCCCCAAAATGCTGGGATTAAAGGCGAGCGCCACTACCGCTGGCTCTGCTCAGAACATCATTCTAAGTGCCAATCACGAAACAGAAAAGACAGGAACATGGCTGGTAACAAGCATATGGATAATCCTGGATCCCTCAAACGTGCCTACCACTCCAGGGTTACAGACACACACTGCCACCCCTGCCTTTTCTTTTAAGATGGGTGCTGGGGATCCAAACACGGGTCCTCATGTGTGCACCAGAGGCACCTCACTGTCTTGGCTGTCCCCGGTCTGCCTGCTGGCGGCTATGTTGGCTAGACCCCTTAACCGTATTACTCTAGATGGAGACGACCCTGACGGCCTCGGGGTGCTGAGCACTATCACGCCTTCACCACAGTCATCCGTCTTGGTTCCTCCACAAGTAAGATGACTGAGCTGAGATCCAGGGATCTTCACAGGCAAGGTTCAAGAGGGAGTCAGCTCAGTGGTGGGCTGTGGTGTCCTGGGGAGGAGATGGCTTGAGGGTGGCCTCTGCAGCCAGGGCTGAGGTGACATCTCCACATGAGGATGCTTGGCAAATGCTGCCTTGACGGTTCCTCGGGAGAATCTAAATCCAGCCGTCTCCTGGCCTTAAGAGCCTAGCTGTGACACAATTCCAGATGTGCAGGCACGTGTGTGCCTCATCTGGGTATTCCGCCCTGGGGCTTTCGTGGGCAGCCTCTCTCTGCAACGGCTGCCCTGGGGACACCCTGGAAAGGGTGCAGAGTTTCTGCTGTGCTTTTCTCACCTCAATGCTAAGACAACACGGAAATTAGAGAAGGGAACTTCACGTTTCCAGTCCCGGGACAGTGTTGTAGAAACTGCGTTCGGTTACTCACCCTGCTGACTTCCTTAGGAGCCGATTCATCTGGGGATGGAGAAGCAAGGAGAGACAGTTAGCATCCGGAAGGCACACTGAGACACAGCACATGTGTTCACCCCTGACACACTTCTGCAAAGCTTCCTCTGAGGAAGTCTGAGAGTCTTGTAAAGGTTAAACATAATGAATTGAGAGAATAAGGGGGAGATTAAATACCCAGCCGCCGCTGGTGCAGGTCACATTTTTAAGATTCTAAAATGGAAATGCGGTTACACAGACACACTCAACGCTACAGACCTGACGCGCTACGAAGCCGCGGGAGGAGAAAGTTGCAACCCCCAGAAATGCACCACAGATCCCTTAGTGCAGGAGCGCTGAGGAGTCATGCCAGCAGGCATGAAAGGGTCTGGCCACTTCCCTGCAACGGCAGTGCCCTGGCCAGGCAAGCAGCGCACGCCCGATCGTTGGCAGCCACTGCTGAAGTGACAGTAATGGTTGGCAGCTAGTCTCAGCCAGGCCCCCGGGGCCCTGCCCCTAGGGCTGGCTTTAGACAAGGAGATGCCAGTGTAACCTCCGGGGTGTGAGGCACAGGGTCCAGAGTGGCTGGCCAGCTGCTGAAGCTCCGCCCACCTCTCCACACCCAGCAGGCAGGCATGTTGTTTCACTGCTGTACCCTTTCTCTGAAATAAACTACACCTTTGCAAGCATCTTCATTTCGGGTCCTGCATCACCTCCAGCCATCTAAGTCTGTCTGCAAGTACAGTGCACCTGCACCAGAAACTGACTGTGCCATGTGTGCATGTGTGTGTGTGTGTGTGTGTGTGTGTGTGTGTGTGTACCAGCCCCCACGTTCAGACAGGTTTGAACCTCCTTTTCAGCGTGCCCATCAAACCATCGCCAGCTCCCAGTGTGTCCCAGAAGCCATTTCTACTACCATACCAAGTCTAGTCCCACAGTACACTGTGGCTTTCAAAACGGACAACTCGATTCCAAAACTGGTTGCCCGCTCTACCAGGGTATGCTCACTGGATGTGGGCGATGGCAGATGAATAGCTTAGGTACTGCGTGAGATTGCTGCAAGAATGAAGAATGTACCAGGTCAAAGGCACTTTTTAACCCTTTTGTTGTTGTTGTTTTTTGTTTTTTTGTTTTTCAAGACACAGTTTCTTTGTGTAACAGCCAGACTGTCCTGGAATTCACTCTGTAGACCAGGCTGGCCTGCAACTCAGAGACCCGCCTGCCTCTGCCTCCCGAGGGCTGGGACTAAAGGCGTGCACCACCTGGCCAATCTTCTTTATTGGAGGAGCATCATGGGGTTTTTCACTTACTCTTCACCTCCCAATTTGTCTTTTCCTGAATCTCTCTGAAAATGGAACTATTAAACTATTATCAGCTTATTAGTGCACTCTAAAGCTATAAAGGCTTGGATTAGTGTAATCAAAAAACTGTATCTAAGCAATTCAGTAAGCTTGGATTAAAAGAGGGAGGCTGGGGCAGGAGGATTGTAAGTTTGAGGCCAGCCTACGCTGTCGAGTGAAAGCACGTCTCAAATTTAACTAATTAATTAATTGTCAAACACAATCATCTTTACAGGCATCCAACTCGCAGTCACAGTGTGTGGTGGGGTTGGGTGTCAATCAAGCATGGCCCCGGACTTTAGCTCCCTCCATCATTACAGAGAACAGTTTCAGAGTCTCACATCTGCTAACAAATATTTTCCTCCTCTTCTCATTGTCCTGGCCTATCGCTCCTATGCAAGTACTAACCAGTTCAAGATCTGGCATATTACTTCTCAAACTAGTGTGTGTAAAAGATACACTGCCTGCATATATCTACAGAACCAACCATCTTCAGCTCGATGGGCAATTTAAAGTATTTGGAGGAAAAAAAAAAAAAAAAACTTTTGCCTACAGATGATTTCTGGATTTTTACCTTGGAACGAATTTAGAAATATTGCCTCCTCCCCTCCCCCTTTCTTTCCCCCTCCTCTTCCCTGTCCTCTTCACCTGACTTAGCACTTATAACTTGTGCTAAATGAATGTCAAGTCTATTACACACAGGGAATGTTGTATTGTGGGTCACCAAGAAATCCACGTTCCCTCTTCCCGTACTTGGCAATTTCATTTATTGAATTCTCCTGTCCCAGAGAGTCAAATGTGTAGAAGTCAAGTGTCTAATTCCATTCCATAGTGCAGGAGCACCTCAGGGGCAGTGCAGGAGGACCTCAGGGGCGGTGCAGGAGCACCTCAGGGCCAGTGCAGGAGCACCTCAGGAGCAGTGCAGGCTCTCCAGCAAGCAGTGGCAAGCTGGGGTCTGCAGGGCCTGGCAGTGCTCCCTTGGGAAAGTGCTATACTTGGGAGCCAGAAAACATCCAGAGAAACACCATCCTGACAATGAGAACCGTTACTGAAAAACAGAGTTATTCTTCCAAAACTAAATAACAACGAAGAAGAAACTTGCCCCCTCCAGCCCAGACTGTTACTATTGCTGGTAGGCCAGAGGAATTCAGGGTAGAGTCACAGTTTGGAATGCCATCCTGGTGGCTTCCAGCAGCACTCACAACTGACCTGCTGGTGGGTATTGCACACAGTCTAAATAAAGGCCAAGCTCCCTTTGAATGGCTGGGTAAGGAAGGGGTAGTGGGAAAGAGGGAACTGACTTGGATAACAGACTAAATTATTCGTGAGCATCAAACTATCAGTAGAAAGGTTCACAGCAGAGGACCCAGGTCTTTAGGCAGAAGAGCACCTCCTCTTTAACTACACACCTGGGCAGCTTCTAGATACTGAGGAGCCTGTGCCCAGGCACTCAGCCCTGTCCTTAGGAGCCGTGGAGGCCACTGAGACACACGAACAAGGAAACAAGTATCGGCTGCGCAGCCATGACCGCCCGTGCTAAAGACAAATGTATTTCTTCAGAAAGGGGAAACCATCTCTCCACCCAAACTCCATCTTAATGATCTTTAAAAGCTTTAGCAAGAACCAGGTCTGGAGGAAAAGCATCCCCTCGGGGTTTCCTAGTACTGAGTTTCACAGTAAATACTCCCTTTAAATATTTTATGTCTTTCTAACTGTGCGGATATTTGTATTTTGTGATCACTTTCCATGTTTCCTGGATGTGAGGTGGAATCACAGTCATGGACCCACACTTGTAACAACAGATTACAGAAATCCAAACGTGCTGGCAGACCTGACGTGCTCCTGTGGCTGCTGTTACGTGCTCACTCTGGAATTAATGGAAGAACGTGGGAACCTGAGTTTGGGTCTCCAGCAACACTGAAAAAGCTAGGCGGGGCAGCACATGGTCATAATCCCAGTGCTGGGGGGCCAGAGACAGGTGGATCTTGGGAGCTCAACAGCTGGCCACTCTAGCCAAGTCAATGAGCTCATGTTCAGTGACAGACCTTGTCCCAATACATAAGGGGGAGTACAATAGAGGGCACCCCATGTCAACCTCCACCACCACATACATGCACACATATCTACTACATACACCAACTTGTACACACACATGCCAACCAGTAAAAAGACTAATACATGGAATAGATAGTCTCAATAGAGGAGATATAGTCAATAAATACTTGAAAAGGTGTTCAACTTCCTTAGCCGTAAGAGAAGACTGTTTCGGGATTCCATCCTACCCCAGTCAGAATGGCTTTCATCAAGCACACATGCTAATGAGGCTTCAGAGAAAGGGAAAGTCTTATCTACTGCTGGTGGAGGTGTAAACTGCTGCAGCTTCTGGAAAACATCATGGGGGAGGGGAGTCCTCAAACAACAACCTGAGCTACCATATGACTGCACTGTTCCCTCTTGACGACAGACCCAGAGGACAAAGTCATCACTACAGAGACTCGCACATCCTCGCTCACTGGAAGCCCACCCCCTCCTCCCTGTGCCCACCCCTCCCTCCTCCCGTGCCCACCCCACCCTCTCCTCCTTGAGCCTACCCCACCCTCTCCTCTTCCCTGTGCCCACTCCCTCCACTTGGCTCTGTTTCCCACTCACTTACTTAACAGTAGCACACTCCAGCAACTACCTTCTCTCCTACACCAGTAATTCCCCTCACCCCCTTGCCACACTCCCCACCAGTATGGGAGAAGTCTCTCCTCCCAAGGTACCAACAGGAGCCTCTTCCTCCAGGGCCCACCCCTCCCTGGATCCTGTCCTTCAAACTACCTCTGAGAGGCTCCCTGTGCCCAGTCTTTGGCTTCTGAGTCACATGATTCCCAAAGACAAGCAGACACCTCTGACCTGGGCACTAGCAGCCCTGCTTTTACTGATCGATCCAGACCTAGGAACCTTGAATTCCCAGCATATATACTCCTAAAGCCATATGTGATGTGACAGCAGAATTTCTGCTGATAATAAGCAGCTGCCAGCACCTGAGACGACCTCACACGGGAGAATTCGAGGTAGACCGCAGGCGGCTTCCAAGTGTCGTAATGCGCTTACTTACAATTTTTGAAATTAAAATATAATTACATCATTTCCTCCCTTCCCTCTTCTCCCCACAACACATCCCCCAACTCATTCCCTCTCAAATCCATTGCTGCTATTTCTTTAAATGCTACTGTTACATATATGAATGGACACATACATATACATCCCGTTGAGTCCATTCAATCTCTCTTACATGTGTGCGATTTCAGGGCTGACCACTTGGTATTGACTAACTCTGACGAGAGGTGAGACTGGAGAGGGCAGAGGAGCAGTTCCAGCCTCAGAACGGCTCCCCGGGTTCACCTCTACCACTGGTCCAACTCGGATCACTCAGAAAAACTCTGACAATCCTAACTGTCACACTTTGGTGACTGTAACGTCACACTTTGGTGTGTGTCAGATGGCTGTAACTGTCACACTTTGAATGGTGTGTGTCAGATGGCTGTAACTGTCACACTTTGGTGTGTGTCAGATGGCTGTAACTGTCACACTTTGAATGGTGTGTGTCAGATGACTGTAACTGTCACACTTTGGTGTGTGTCAGATGGCTGTAACTGTCACACTCTGAATGGTGTGTGTCAGATGACTGTAACTGTCACACTTTGA